CTTCCGCATTGCTCATTAATGCGCGCGACACGCAGGGTGGGAAGAACCACTGGGAAGGGGGAGTCTTTGATCAGGGACAGGTGTTTTCTTATTAGTCCTGTAGGCCATCTTACAACAGATTTTCCCTGTCACAATCACAGGTGCTATTCCATTCTCACAACAAGGTACTAGCTACAGTACCAAGCAAACAGTGACAATCCAGTGTTCAATAAATGAAAATTCTGCTGCTGCTTTTGTCCCCCTATATTCCTCTTCTCTGCCCAAGAATAATGCAAGCCTGAAAAGGGTAGTGAGATCACCAACTCTGAAGATCGGCCATCAGGTGATATAACCTATTACCTACACTAATTTCTCTTGGACTTTAATTCCTGGCTCATTGTTGCTTTCTCTCTAATGCTATTTCCTGTCATACTTCTAAGGGTTCAATGTGCATATATGTACACCACACTCCTTCCAATGCTCTGATTCTCAGCATCTTGAGCTCTTACCCTCTTACACTTGCTGCTGCCCCACCTCAGCTACCTACTCCCACGGCCACACCCAAGACCTTGTCCATACCAAACTACAGCCTCTCTACAGATTGTTTCATGCATCCCACTGGCTGACCACCAACTCCTACCTTTCCAGCATGCCACGTATAGTACCTCGACCCCAGTAAGCCTCTGACCCCATCATGGATCAAACATTTTCCCCCTGCTCCTCACCCCTTTGATGTCCTTAGCCCCTTCTGATCCAGCTAAATTCCATGACCAATCATTGCAAATAATTCCCTTGCATGTACCCGACTCTTTTGCACTGTTCTTGCTTTGTCACACCCACCTGCAAAATCCAGCTCTCCACCCATTCTGCTCTTGGCATTTGTACCACCAAATGGTGCTAAACACATAGTAGTCTGATTTCAAGCCCATGAGTGGGAATCTGAAGTGGGACCTGCAGCTATAGGTGATCACACCACATTCCTATCTACTCTCCACTCTCTTCAACAAAGATTTCATAACTTTTCCTTCCTCAATGCCAACACCCTCTCCCCTTCCTCACTCTCCACTGAAAATGGAAGAAGCCAGAAGAGAATGTCAACAGACGCCCATCCCTGTATCCACCCACCTGGCAGCACCTGCGGACACGCGCTGTTTCCTGCCTGTGGGGAGGAATGGTCTGCCACAGAGGAGCCTTAAAGAAGATTCTCAAGGCACAGATTCAGATTCACCTTTGTCCACTCAAGGACGTCTACCAGTGCTTCGGGCCTCTCTGCTGGACCATTTCCATTGGGAAATGTTGAACCTTTTCCCATTTAAAAACAAAAGCCACTTTCCCCTCCAGCTATCCCCTTGCTTCCAGTGCACTCAAATTCTTTTATTTTTTTTATTTTTTTTTAATTTATTTTATTTTTTTAATGTTTTTTTTTTAATTTATTTCTAGGAGAGAGAGAGAGACAGCGTGAGCAGGGGAGGGTCAGAGAGAGAGGGAGTCACAGACTGAAACAGGCTCCAGGCTCTGAGCTGGCAGTCAGCACAGAGCCCGACGTGGGGCTCGAACCCACGAACCGTGAGATCATGACCTGAGCGAAAGTCGGACGCTTAACCGACTAAGCCACCCAGGCGCCCATAACTCAAATTCTTTTAAAAAGAATTCTTGAATACCTGAAGTCTTCAGTTCTTTTCCTCCCCCTTCTCTCTTTAACCCTCTTCAATCAATGTTTCATTTCCAACAGGCTGTCCCTGACAAGGTCACCAGGGCCCTCCATGTTGCTAAATCAAATGGCCAATGCATTCTCCGTCATCATATTTGATCCACCAGCACCATTTTGTGTGTGTGGGTTTTTTTTAATGTTTTTTATTTATTTCTGAGACAGAGAGAGAGGGAGACACAGAATCTGAAACAGGCTCCAGGCTCTGAGCTAGCTGTCAGCACAGAGCCCGACGCGGGGCTCGAACCTACGAACCGTGAGATCATGACCTAAGTGAAAGTTGGACGCTTAACCAACTGAACCACCCAGGCGCCCCCCACCAACACCATTTTGATCCTGTTTGTAACACCTTCTTCCCGCAGCATTCTGGACATCACCTGTTGCTCCTTCTCTCTCTTGTGTTGGCCCCTTCCTCCTCTCTGACCTCTTCACGTAAGACTGACCCAGGCTCAGCCATTAGTCCTCTGTCTAAACTTACTCCTTAGCCCTCTCTATAAACATGCATCACTGCTTAGTTTTGCAAAACTAGGAAACACAGGAAAGACAGACGCTAGTAATACTGACCACCCACGAGGGTCGGATAAGAACGGATAGAGAAATGAGGGGGAGTAACACTTCTCTGAAGATACTTCTGTGTAGACCTGTGATTTTAAACCATATTAATATTGCACATACTAAAAAATAATGATAATAAAATCAACTAGGATGGGGGGAAAACCCTTAAAAATAAAAACAAATATATTTCAAATGAAAATGGAAACCAATGAAACCAAATATATTTCAAATGAGTAATATAACCATATTAAAGGAGGGTGGGTGGGAATGAATTAACTTAAGTAATTTTGGAGCAGAGTATTAGACTATATATTCTTAAATTAGAGGTAAAACACACTCTAAGCAAATACTGACAAGTAAATAACAAATAAACAAATTAATATCCTAGCATTAGGCAAATGAGTTAATACATTGAGGATAATGAAAACCAGGCTCCCCATTATCAGAGAAAGAAGTTACAAATATGACAAGGAGAGAGATTAGAATATACCCAGTAGTATGGGAGATATCAAAAAGCATGTTTTCTTGTTTGTTTTTGTTTTTAATTTGAGAGAGTGTGTGTGTGAGTGGGAAAGAGGGGCACAGGGAGAGGGAGAGAGAATCCCAAACAGGCTCCATGCTTAGCACAGAACCCGACACAGGGCTTGGGTCCAAAACCCTGGGATCATGACCTGGGCCAAAGTCAAGAGTTGGAAGCTCAACCAACTGAGCTATCCAGGTGCTCCAGAACCCATGTTTTTTTAATAGATAGAGTGATGGGGACACCTGGGTGGCTCAGTTGGTTGAGCATCCAACTTTGGCTCAGGTCATGATCTCATGGTTCATGAGTTCAAGCCCCATACTGGGCTTTGTGCTGATAGCATGGAGCCTGCTCTGAATTCTCTCTCTCTCTTACACACACACACACAAATACATATTTAAAAAAAGAGACAGAGTGACAGAAATAGTTATATGTGCAGGTATACAGCATATGTCTCTGTGTCTCTGTGTGTATGCATATGACAATGGTATCCCAGCACTAATAAACACACCTAACTCTGAAAGCTCCTTGAAAAAATGTAGGATTCCAAAGCTGGGTTTAAGAAATTACAAGATAAACCTGGAGCATCCTGTTATTGAAGACGCTCAAATGATAGGCACAAATTAAAAGGACACATGAGCTACTTTGAAGGGGCTCCTACTGGCCAAATCTAAGATAATTTGAATATCAAAATACATAATGAGGTAATGGATTCTAATCCACTAAATGAATTGGCAGTCTGTAATATTATGTGGATATAAATAAACTGGAGAAGGAAAGTCTTCACTGTTGAAGAATGTTGATGAATATAGAAAGAATAATGGAATTAGGAAATCACCATTTGATAAATAGCATGATGATAACTGATTCATACAAGCATCATCAATGGACATTAAAACTAGGCGGTGAAAGTTAGGTGAGGGAAAGGATATCTACATACTTTCAGATTATCTCCTCAAAATACTCATTTATTACAAAGAGAACAATGGTCACTTTTCAGTGGCAAAACTGTAAATTGACAGATACTACCTTAACATCAAAGTGGTGTGTATTATCAGTAATAGTACAAATCAACATCATATGCCTTCTTATATGATGTTCCATCTTTTCCCTCAGCTTAGAACATTCTTTCTTGGTATATTTTCTTCGTAACTCATTAACTTCCTTAAAATCTTTCTCAGGGTGCCTGGGTAGTTCAGTCGGCTAAGCATCTGACTTCAGTGTCAGGCTCTCTGCTGACAGCTCAGAGCCTGGAGCCTGTTTTAGATCTTGTGTCTACCTCTCTCTCTGCCCCTCCCCCACTTACACTGTCTTTCTCTCTGTCTCAAAATGAATAAACATTAAAAAAATTAAAATCTTTCTTAAATATCACTTTCTCTATAAGAACTACCCCGATTACTCTTTTTATACTGTCCCCCCTACCTCCCTCATTCCACTTACCTTATTGTACATTTTCTTTTCTTCATAGCACTTACTAGTTTTACAGTTTTCTTCTCTATTACATTTATGGCCTATCCCCTATCCCTAGGACTATAAGCATCACAGGAGCAGGGATCTGTTTTGTTCACTGATGTATCCTAAGAGCCTATAATAGTTCCTGGCACTTAACTAGTGCTTAAGAAGTATCTGTTAAGTGGGGCGCCTGGGTGGCTTAGTCGGTTAAGCGTCCGCCTTTCGCTTAGGTCATGATCTCGCAGTTCGTGGGTTCGAGCCCCGCGTCAGGCTCTGTGCTGACTGCCAGCTCAGAGCCTGGAGCCTGTTTCAGTCTGTGACTCCCTCTCTCTCTGACCCTCCCCTGCTGATGCTGTCTCTCTCTCTCTCTCTCCTAGAAATAAATGAAACATTAAAAAAAAAATTAAAAAAAAAAGTATCTGTTAAGTGCTGAATGAAGGAAAAGTACAAAGCTATTGAGATTAACTATTATCCTGGCCATACCTAGAATCAGAAAGGGGCTTGAGATAGCAATGATTTTGGAAAGTATGTATCTGAATAGCAAGCACACTGTGCTCACTTAGAAACGATATTTATTTGGAGTAGTTTGGAGAAGGGCTGAAGAAGAGTATGAAGAGTTAATGTACCCTTCCACACATCCCTTTCCCTTAGGCCACTGGATGTGATTCTCAAGTTAACTTTCATACTGATACACAGCTCTATGTCATATAAAAGCTATTTTCTATTCCTTAAATAGTACATTTTAATTACCAGCTTCTTAGACATGATTTAAACATAGGCTCTTACCTGCAGAGTTGACCACACGTATTTCCACTCCATTTGGGAATTTCGATTGTAGCAGTAACAGTCTGACTGAGAAGTTTTAATTAAATCTTTTTCCTTCAGAGCTTTACACCTTGGAACTGAGAGATAGAAAAGCAATTATATTTCCTAAATATTTAATTTCCCATAATCTTATCTTTTTTTCTTTTTATTCACAATAATAATGCTATTTTACATTCTCTAAATGAATTCTTCTATATGGTAAGTATAGTCCCTCAGTCTTCCTAACCTACAGGAACAGACAAAAAATTAGTCTAGTATCAATACTCTTATGATATATGCAAGGCACCATAAGAACACAGAAGGTGGGTGGAAGGGTGGGCTAAATGGGAGATGGGTATTAAAGAGGGCACTTGTGATGAGCACTGGGTGTTTTATGTGAGTTGATGAATCACTAAATTCTACACCTGAAACTAATATTACATTGTTATGTTAACTAACTGGAGTTTAAATAAAAAGTGAAAGTTTTAAAAAAAGAAAAGAACACAGAGAATGGGTACTTCAGTCTTTATTTTATTTTATTTTAGTGTTTATTTATTTTTTGAGAGAGAGAGAGAGACTGTGAGCAGGAGAGGTACAGAGAGAGAGGGACACACAGAATCTGAAGCAGGTTCCAGGCTCCAAGCTGCCAGCACAGAGCCCAATGCAGGGCTCAAACCCACAAGCTGTGATTTCATGACCGGAGCTGAAGTTGGCTACTTAACCGGCGGAGCCACCCAAGCGCCCCTGGGTACTTCAGTCTTGAAGCAGAGGGCAAGAACTGGGGGCAGCTTCAACATCTGCAGGTAGAGAGGTAAGCAGTGGTTACTACTTACTCTAAGGACTATGGACTTCATGCTGAAAGCAGAGCATTGAAGGATTTTAGGTAAGCAGCATCAAAGTCTCAGCAGGAAACTGAGGACACTCAAAAGGGTTTAACTGAAGAGTTCAGGGAGGATGTGGGCAGAGTTAAGGCATTAACAATAAGGCGCTGTGAACTTCCCAGACATCAACAACAGCAGGAAGCCTTTAACATCCCTTGGCCTGAAATGGCAAAGGGAGGGTCTGATGTTCCTGGAGCTACTGAAGCCCAGAGGACAGTAGGGTCATGGGATGCAATCCCTGCCAAAATGTGGAATGGTGGGATGAAGGTATGACTACTGCAACCTCTCTCTCCTGCCCTCCCATCAGTGCCCCTCATTGGCCAAACCCAATGGGAAGCAGGAGGGCAAAGAAGCCCAGGTGATGTAGTCCACAGATGTCAGTTTCCAGACATGAGCAGGGGAGGGAAGGGCACAGAACGGATCTGTGGGAACAGAGAATAACCAGTTTAATAGGGAAATAACAAGTACACAGTTGTGTTTTAGAAAAAGAATTCTGTAAGCAACGTGCAATTTTAGAGGTGAAGAAGACTGAAAGTAGAAGAACCACTAAGAAGGCTACTAAAGGAGTCCAAGCAAGAAATGAACTAGGTAGGAGGGAGAAAGAACAGACTAAAGACCACTTAGGACTGGAATTAACAGTCTTTGGAGATTCATTAGGTGAGGGAGACCAAGAAGATGACCTGAAAGTTCTGGTGAGGGGAAAGATGGTGAGGTTCCTCACCCAGACAAGGAACACTGGAGAAGATGCAAGCCTGTGCAGGGAAAGGGGGATGAGTTCAATCTGGGACATAACCGAGTTTTGGTTGCTGGGACTAAATGAAGATGGACAGATCTACAACACAGGAGAAATACGGAGACAGAAGTAGATACATATGTGTCTGCGTGTATAAATATTTGTGCATCTGTATTATACAATACATATACATATACATAACATATAATACAACACAAGACAATCTAATATGTGGAGGAGGAGAGACAGGTGCTTTATTAGAGGGTAAATGCCATATGAAAATTATAAAGTAATGAATTCATTTTATTCTGTGGCTGCCTCTGTATCTGAATTTAATAGGAAATGAGATGAAAGTCATAGATTCTTCTGGGTCCAGGACAGGGTGTCACCACTACACATGTCAATAGGAAACAGGCACAGAGTATGTTATGAGCACACAGAGAAATGGGCCTCATGCCCATCCCCCAACTCCTCTATGGAAAGTGTAGTCAGCTGCTCCAGAAAAACATCAAGTGAAGCTAGAATAACCTGCTACACCAAAGTTGGGGAAGGACTGAATAACTAGAATCTAATCAACAATTACATCCATTTAGGGAATAATTGAATAAGCCCACATAGGTTTGTGTCCTAGCTAGAAGCATCCCAAGCATAAAGCTTAGAAGAAGTGAAGACAGACTTGGGGAGAAGATGCAGAGAATACCCACCAATGCAACCGCATAAAAGGCACAAAGCTACACAAAGCAGGAAAGTCACACGAGAACCCAGTATTTTCCATTGTGACACTGTCAAATCATTTAATCTTTACTCTTAACATCTGAGGAAATGCATAGTTTTTTAAAATATACCACCAAATTTGCAGAGTTTGAGAATCTGAAATGAAAATACAAGAATTCAGGTGAAGAGGCAGGTCTCAAAAAAGCATGTGAAGGAAGCTCTAATGGCTCTCTGCTAAATACAAACGCTAAAAATTAAAAATGCATCCCCTTGGGGGTGGGGTAGGGGCAGGGAACCTGGGTGGTTCAGTCAGTTGGGCAGCCGACTTCAGCTCAGGTCATGATTTCACAGTCCTTGAGTTCGAGCACATTCCATGTTGGGCTCTGTGCTGACAGCTCAGAACTTGGAGCCTGCTTCAGATTCTGTGTCCTCCTCTCTCTGCCCCTCCCCTGCTCACACTGTCTCTCTCAAAAACAAATAAACATTAAAAAAAATTAAAAATGTATCTCCTGGCACAGCCTGTTTATATACAAAAGGGGAATGCAGAACCGGTGCTACCAACACAGAAAGCAACCAACTGCAGAGGTGAAGTCTTAGATATGTCTGAGATGCAAATGACTCCTGGCCAAGGGCTACACAGGGGAGAAGGCACTCCTGGACGTCGAAGGGCTGACAGCTAGCTGTAGAGAAGACCATGTCAAAGGCAGTGTAGAACCTGGGAGCACCTGAGCAACTAAAACACATTAAAGGCCCTCAGCTAGTGAGAAGGAGCATTAGAAGGAGGGCTGTCGACTGGCCTTGTGGTATCCTCTGTTCTGGCTCTACACAGCCCTCCTGTGGGTCTCTGAGCAGGAACAGGTCTTTACTGGGTGGCTAGAGTTGACAACTTTATACCGACAACTATATTCCTCAGTAAAAGAGAGGAATCCCTACCTTTGTTGAAAAGGGAGGGCATTCCAATGGGGCAGGTAACGGGGGAGAGCCTTAAGGTCCACAGACCCCAGCAGCCTCAGACCATTGCAAGAACGTCAACTTCCAGCCAGTTCTTTCTTCAGGGCTACTCCTAATACCACACTTGTGCTCAAGGCCAGGAGCTTATCCCTGCATCACCTCTCCTAATGGGCTCCACCACTTCAAGGAATCAATTCCTTTAAGAACAGTGAACTACTCTTAGTAGTAGTTTGAAGGAATATCCTCTTTCTGGGGACCTGAGCTGTGCAAACAAATGCTGCCTTCAGATGAACTTGTTCTCACTTGGTCAAAAGACTATCTCCTTAAATCATTTGATATATGAAACTTTTAAGAGCAAAATGGTGCAATTTAAATATAGTACAATGATTTGAATTTAGAGGTAAATGCTTCTCTGCCATCCAAGCCAGTCTCCTTGCACTTGGATTACTGTAATTCCCTTTTAACTGGTTCCCTGCTTCCAGAATTGCCCCTATGACATTCCCCTACAACCAATTCTCCGATCAGCATATAGATCTTTTAAAAACATCGATCAGAGCACATTATTGACCTGCTCAAAACCAATAGCTTCTCATTGCATTCATAATAAAATCCAGTCTTCCTTCCAAGGACCTAGTACCTCTGACCTCTCCTCCACCCCTCCCCCTCTCAGCTGCTCAGGCCTCCCTTGAGTAATCTTCTAGAAACATTTCATTATTCAGTTTCTTCTTCCTCCATCTCCACATAAGGGTGGGAAGTAGAAAACACAGCCAGCTTATCTGAACTCTATGGCTGACATGTGGCGCATGTCAGATGTCTACAGGTATCATTTATTCATGTGTCCTCAGTCATGCTGGTTCATTCTGCTAGGATGGAACTTCCTGGTGGCAGATGTAGGCAAACCAAAATATATCACAAAGATACCAACAAAATCCCTTCATAATGCAATCCAGAAAACAAAAGGGAATATCTGGAGATTCATAAAAACTTAATAATAATCATTCATCTGATCAGAAGAAAACAATACCTGCCTAGGGACAGCTACTGCTTCCACCTGAGGCTGAAATATGTTTCCACCCTAGAAGGTGCCCCATAACCTGGGTACCCACATCCTCAAACCTGATTCCAGATCCAGAGAAAGATCTGGAAGTGTGGGCTGTCCCAGCTCTGCCTCATCTCCTAAACACTTAGGAGTATCTACAGGGCCAGCCCAGCATGCCATCATTACAATGACTACCCCAGCATGTCTGCAACTCTAAGCTACAAAATGATCATCGCTTTCTATAAGTCCTGGCAGTCTTCAGCAGGTTCTCTTGATTCTGCAATAATAAACCTGACTTTTGTAGAATATATTTCTGGACAATTGTGCCCAAACTGCTAAGACAAAGCACAATTATTTATATTACCAAAGGATCAGAGTCAGAGTTATCTTACCCAATGAGATTCCTTAGTTCATTTTATTTTTTATTTAAAAAACTAGTTTTAATGTTTATTTATGAGACAGAAAGACGGAGAGACATAGCGCAAGCTGAGGCCAGCAGAGAGAGAGGGAGATACAGAATCCAAAGCAGGTTCCAGGCTCTGAGCTGTCAGCACAGAGCCTGATGCGGGGCTTGAACTCACAGACTACAAGATCATGATCTGAGCTGAAGTTGGAAGCTCAACAGATTGAGCCATCAGGTGCCCCCTTAGTTCATTATAAATACCACTCAGCTTGGGGGCACCTAGGTCATTCAGTTCACTAAGCATTGGACTCCTGGTTTCGGCTCAGGTCATGATCTCACAGCTCTTGAGATGGAGGTCCTATGTCATGACAGCTCCGTCTCTCGGTCCCTCCCCTGCCAGTGTGGGTACTCACAGACGTGTGCTCACTCACTCTCTCAAAATAAATAAATATTTAAAAAAAGTTTCAAAAAATACCAATCTATATTCAATTAATCTAATTTTAACACTACATAGTTTATATAAAAAAGGGCCAGATGGGTATCACCTGCTTTAACTAATAAATTACATTTAAAATTACTCCTATGTACTACTTTTGTCATTTTTTAGCTTTCCTAATGTAAAAGGATATATTTAAGTTAAAGAATTTAGTCATATGTAAGGTAAAAATATTCAGTCAAAACTTCAGAAAAAGGGCAGGTAGTACTTAAACCTACTTATAGAATATGCTAAAAATAAAAAGCACAAACACTCCTCAAATCCTAGCAGATCTTAAACAACCTCCAACATAAAAATATTTCAGTAATGTTCTTTCTAAAAATTTAACCTTACATGGCCTTCATATGGGAAATAAATATCTTCAGATGAAACTATAATATAAAATCACTTATTAAATTAGACTGCCATTTTCTCCAACTGGCCTATCACTGTTTTTCTTTTGTGACAAAGAAGGGGAGGGAGAAAAATAGGAAAAACAAAAAAGGAAAAACCAACAAAGCTTAGCTCCTGAAAGGTCAAAGGAAGAAGGACTTTTCTGGGTATTATTTTGTACATTCCTATTTTCAAAGGAGTTAGCATGGAGCACCAAAATTACAAAGGTAACTTCCCTATTCTAGTAATCCTAGCTTTTTTTAAGTGGACTTGAATATTAATCTTGATTTTTATTTCTCCAAGAATATGCATAGAGAATGAATCTGAAATTAGCACATGCTGATGTACATTCAGGCTAATTTTAACCTCGAGTACTAATTTTTCTTCTCCATAGATGATCTTGAAAGTTGTGATTTGCAATGACCTATTGCTATATAGTTCAAGCCTGGGAATTCAACCCAAGGGCCTGAACTTCATCATAGGACAACATGTGGGTCTCTACGGCCCTCTCCCACTGGCTGCAAATTATGAATAACTCTTTCTTTCAGCCAGACAACTACCTGCTTCTCCTGTGTCATCTGCCTCTGATTTTCATCCAGATAGGGTGACAGCTGGCCTTGCTCTGGATGTTCTCTATCGTACAGAAGGGTGTATACATCCAAGACAGAATTTTAGGACACTAAGTATCATCTAATCCAAGCTTCTCATGTTATAGCTGGGCCTTATATTATGAAAGGAAGTACCAGCTGTTTGATCTCAGGGATACTCATAAAACCACTTCTGAAGCAGAATGTTCCTTAGACCTAGTCCAGTCCAGAGGTTCCACCGTGGTGTCTTTAAAACCCCACAGGATCCAGGATGCCCCAGAGCCTATGCTGAATAGCATATCTGGAATGGCAAGCATTGGCTATAAGGCTACGTAAGTTGCCATTTTTCTTAGCTGCGCGCTAGAATTTTATCAACTCGTGGGCATCCTGCATGTCTTGGGCAGAACAGTAGCTCTGATAAGCACTTACATAGGTCTTTGGCTAACAAAATAGAAGGAACAGTTAATACTAAATACTGTAATAGAAATATGAGACATACAGGGTTAACTGAAGCAAATAAAAACGTGAGGAAACTATGGGAAGCCATTCGGCAATAGAACAACTTTATTTTACTCACGAGAAAACCATGGTCTATAAAGATTATGTGCCTGGACCAAGGTACATTCTACAAGTGGGTGGGGGAGGGGCGCCTGGGTGGCTTAGTCGGTTAAGCGTCCGACTTTCGCTTAGGTCAAGATCTCGCGGTTCGTGGGTTCGAGCCCCGCATAGGGCTCTGTGCTGACTGCCAGCTCAGAGCCTGGAGCCTGTTTCAGTCTGTGACTCCCTCTCTCTGACCCTTCCCTGCTCACACTGTCTGTCTGTCTGTCTCTCTCTCTCCCCCCCCCCAGAAATAAAAAAATAAAAATAAAAAAAATAAAAAAACATTTATAAGTGGGTGGGGGAAAGTAATGAATGACTAGAACTCAAGGTCCTGGGTGTTGGTCCAGGGCTACTGACAATTTCCTGGCTGCTGCTATTCTCAGAAACCCTCCCTCTTAGATACATCTGTGATTTATTTTTTCATCAGTGTATGACTGGTTACATTTCTTACTACTAAAGCCTGCCTTTCCTCATCTGTAAAATGGGTATGCAAATGGTACTTGTACCCATTAGGGTTACTATAGGTCTTAAATAAGATTATGCATTTAAAGCACTTTTAACACACAGGAAACACTCAGTGAATGTCTCTTCAATGAAAACTGGTATGGAAAAGTTCCCCAAGCTTTAACTCACTGCAAGATTCCCATGAGTTGGCAGCTCTGGCAGAAATCCAGTAACTTGTCTTCATCCTTAGACAAAGAACCTTGATCTCACGTTTGGAGGTACTATACCGGGCTAAAGGACCACACTTAGGTGTCTCCCTTGCAAAACATTGGTGGCCAACGAGAGGAGGTGAAGCTGGTGGACAGAAATCCCAGGAAATCTTTTAAAGGATTTTATGCGGGGGGTGGGGATGAGCTAGAAATGTTAAGCTCGTAGCATATTACTAGCAGTTCTGAAGTTGGGACTCACGACGTCCCTTCCGTGCCAGGATCCTGAGAGCACTCCACAGACAGCCCCTAACAACAATATGAAGAGCTACCATCTCGTTTCCTCTGTTAACAATCGCGCACATGTTAATCCTCACAACAATCCTGTTAGATATGATGTTTTACATGTGACCAGTGGCTCAAGGCCACAGAGCTAGTCAAGGGCAGGGGAATTTAGGTCAAATTCTAAAGCTAAAGTTCTTCTATTGAGTCCAGAGTAATCGCTATATATTGAAATACTGAGGTTTTCGACACAAATCGATGTATTAAAAGTCCTGTGTTGAAAGTCGGGAGACTAGGGTCAGCTGTGCCAGTAACAAGCTGTGTGACCTCAGACAAATGAAAACATCTCAAGAGCTTTGCTTGCTGGTTCGTAAACGAGGAAACTGGGCTAGACCGAACTTGACGGTTGCTTCTTGGTAAATGAGGAAATTAGGATAGACTGAGCCTGGCGGTTGCTTCTACTCCTAAAATCATAAAAGTGTCTAAGTGACAGCAGAGACCAGGGAAACCCAAGCAGGCGGGAAGAAGAGATGTTGGGCCTGCCCCGGGTGCTGGCCACGCGCGGCGGGCCGAACGGGACAAGGAAGCGCGCATTGGGCTGCCTGCGCCTCGCCGCCGCCGCCGCCGCCGCCGCCGCCGCCGCCGGCAGGGAGAGCGCCCTCGGGGCGCCAAGGAAGCGGGAGAGACCTACGAACCCGGGAGGCCGCGCGCGCGCGTGCGCGCCGGCCGCTAGTGACCGCGGTTACCTGACAGCGCCGCCGCCGCCGCCTCCTCTCCGCGCACCGCGCCAGCAGGCTGTGCGGACAAGGGCTGCAGCCAGATTAGCAGCCACCACCGCCCCAGGGGCGGCCGCATCCCGCCCCGGGACCGGCTCCGCGCCCCCGTTCGGCCGATGGAAGCAGAAATGGCGCAAGGCCTACGAGGAGGCTGGGGGGCGGCGAGACCCGCACGCGGGAAGGGCGGAGGCCCCGCCTTCCCAGGGCGGAGGAGGAGTCGGCAGGACGCTCTTGCTGGAGCTCGCGGCTCGCGGCGACGGCTGGCCCAGGCCTGGGGGCTCCCGGGAGCCCTGTCCCAGCCGCTACCGGCCTGAGGCTTCCGGGCCTCGTCTTCCCCTGAGGCGGTTGGGCCGTGGCCCAGTCCCGTCGGTCCCTGCGCCAGGGTGGAAACTGCGGCTGGGGGAGGGGAGCACCTCTCTGAATTTTGCCTAAAACTTCCCTGACCCGTGACCTGCGGGGTTTTAAGTCTCAGTTCTCAGAGGTCTCCTGAGTGATGCCTCTTGAAGAGAAAGGCCCTTCAGGAACAACCCCCACCTTCATTTTTTTTTTAACAAAAATAAATTTCATTATTTTTCCTTTTTTTCCCCCATTTTCCTTTTTGTATGTAACAATAACAAACTGGCCATATTTGCTTAAGTAACACTTAACTTGTATGTCCAAACTTATAAACACACCACATTTCAGTATGAAGAGTAAAATGGTCCCTCACCAATACAGCACGTCTTAAATTAGCTTGCATTTAAAAAAAAAAAAAATACAGAAATCTGATTGGTGGTTGCCAGAGGGAGGAGGTGGGGGAAGGCCGGCAAAATGGGCAAAACGGTCAAAATATACAAACTTACAATTATAAGTTCTGGTGATGAAACGTACAGTACGATGACTAAAGTTAACAATAGTGTAATGTCTATTTGAAAGTTGCCAAGAGTAGCTATTAGAAGTTCTCAACATACACAAAAGTTTTTGTAATTATGTGACGTGATATAGCTTTACTAAACTTATTGTGATGATCATTTTGCAATATATACATAAATGGATCATTATGTTGTACACCTAAAACTAACACGATGTTGTATGTCAATTATCTCAATAAAACTGGAAAAAATATCTTGAGTGGTCTAATATTGTTAATTAGTATAGAACTTGTGGAGTTAATATATACTGTATCTTTTTTTTTTTTTTTTTTAAAGAACAGAACTTCCTCAGGCCCTAGAAACCCATTAAGGTGATTCAATATTTCATAGCAAACATTTATTAGAAGAAAAGTTCATTTCCTCTTTTCTAATTCTGGTCTTCTGGTTATGTACCTCAGAGAAACCAATTGTGGCAGAAATCGTCTTCTAAAAATAACTTAGCTTCATTTTCCCTAAAGGTATGAGTAGGACTCACTAGACTTACCCTGGCTTCAAAGTAAGGTTTAACCAACTGCCCTCAAACCCCTGGCACCGTGTGTACACCCGTAGATGGTTTGGGAAGTTCAGAAATCTCCTTATAAGGAACTCTTCAAGGGGATGAGTTTTACAAATAAACTATTATTAATTAAACTTCCACCTTGTCTGACCCTGTAGACTGTCTCCAGAGAAATGGCAGAGCTCCCGATCCAAGTATGAGGTGTGCACTCGCCTCTTGCACAATGGCTTTTTTTCCCCTAACCACATTCATTTTGATTTAATTCTGGATGGCACTATGAAAAGTAGCTAAAAGAAACAGGTAGATTCTTGAATAATAAATGGGTTTTCCTGCAGTGGTATCTGGTAGAGCAGGCAGCAGTATAATAAACATTTAAATTATTATAAGTTTTGGTGATGAAAGGTACAGTATGATGACTAAAGTTAGCAATACATGTAATGTATATTTGAAAGTTGCTAAGAGTAGATCTTAAAAGTTCTCATCATACACAGAAGTTTTTGCTTTCTATCTTTCCATCAGAAAATAGAGAAAAAGTTTGTCCATCAGTGGGTCCAATGAAGTGAGAAAGTTGTAGTTGAAATCACCATTAAATTTGCCAAGAGGATGTAAAACAGTTGTAAGTGGATAATAACACCAGCCCATAAATTTCTACACCAAAAAAGATGATTAAAAAAGGAAAAAATCATTGCCTCTTAAAGCAGTTGCCCAATTGTGGCACAGATCTCAGCAGCGGAATTCTGGTAAACAGCCCACGTCCACCTCTAAGATAGAATGATGCACTATAGCTTGGGGGGCTGGATCTCATAGATAATGAAGAAGTTGGCACTTTCTCCAGAATGCTATCAGTGTGGGTAATAAGTAAATGTTTAGCAATGAAAAATGCAGATTCCCAACACATACCCTCTAGAAACTGATTCAGTTCATCTGGTGAAAGCCCAAAATATGCCTTCTTAATACGTACCCCCAAGTGATTCAAAATGTTTAGAACGAAACTTTGAGTTTTACAAGTTTCATGCTTGACAGGAAGTAGTTTTTTCAGCAAGTTTGTAATCACAGCTAATTTAATTTGTAATCACAGTTAAAATATTGTGTGTGTGTGTGTACTTTACGTAATTCATATTCTTTAATATGATATGTCTTTGGGGGGAAAATGTATAACAAAGAGCTTCCTTAATATTATTTTAGTGACCTGAGTTTTTATTTTCATTTTATTTTATTTTTAAATTTTATTTACTTATTTTGAGGGGGAGAGAGAGAGAGAGCAGGAGCAGGAGCAGGGGAGGGCAGAGAAAGAGGGAGAATCCCAAGCAGGCCCTGAAATGTCACCATGGAACCCAAGGCAGGCCTTGAACTCCTGAACTGTGAGATCATGACCTGAGCCCAAGCCCAGTCAGATGCTTAACCAACTAAGCCACCCAGGTGCCCCATGACCTGAGTTTTTAAATTCCATTTGACTCTTTCCACATGGTGTGAAAAAGATTATAATTCCATTTTCAGCCTCTGCATTTTTATTTCTAGAGTTCTTGTTCTTCATAACTAATTAATTTTCTGTAACTGTCATAGTGTTATAATCAGTCATTATGAATCAGAAGTAAAATTTAGCTCATGTCAAAAATTTATTTAGGAACTTTCACTTGGTTTCTAGATAGGTAGAACATTTAATTAAATGAATTAGAATAAAATAAAGTTCTACTACTTTGGGCTCTTTCATAAAGAAAGATTTGGTCTATTGCTGCAATGATACTTGCCAATGTCATAAAGATTACATAGTCTATATGTCATAACTTCTTTTTTTTTAATGTATTTATTTTTGAGAGAGGGTAAGTGCATGAGTAGGGGAGAGGAGCAGAAGGAGAGAGAGAGAGAATTTTTTTAATGTTTATTATTTATTTTCAAAGTTACAAAGAGAGCACAAGTTGGAGGAGGGTCAGAGAGAGGGGGAGGGAGAATCCCAAGCAGGCTCTGTGCTGTCAGTACAGAGCCAATTCAGGGCTTGATGCTATGAACCCTAAGATCATAACCTGAGCCGAAACCAAAAGTCAGATGCTCAACTGACCAAGCCACCCAGGAGCCCAGGGAGAGAGAATCTTAAGCAGTTTCCACCATCAGCTTGGAGCCTGACACAGGGATCAATCTCATGACCCTGGGATCATGGCTTGAGCCAAAATCAAGAGTCAGATGCTCAAACGACTAAGTCAACCAGGTGCTCCCATACTTCTTTTCAGAAGTTCCCAGTTTTAGAATTTTATATATGAGAAAGAAAAGAAACCGCCACCACCAACAGGCTGTTCAAGACCTCTCCATAACAGAAAAAAAAAAAAAAGTTGACTTCTGGATCATGTTTTTCTTAGCATATTTCATTTAGGAAATATTTTGGAATTGACTTGCCATATACTAGTTCAGTAATTTTAGGAAAAGCCCATGTTAAAACTAAAAGAGAGATAGCTTTTCAGTATGAATAAATGATATTAGGATGTATTAGAATAAATATAATTTATAAGAAAGATAATATGTCCTCTATACTAAATTAGTAAACCTCATGGTAAAAAATAATTGGTCAAATTCAATTCAAATGTTTCAATTCAAATAGAGAGATGTGGAATTCTTTAAAATAGTATTTCTTGGGTCACCTGGGTGGCTCAGTTGGTTGGGCATCGAACTTTGGCTCAGGTTATGATCTCATGATTCTTAAGTTTGAGCCCCATGTCAGGCTCTGTGCTGACAGCTTAGAGCCTGAAGCCTGCTTTAGATTCTGAGTCTCCGTCTCTCTCTGACCCTCCCCTGCTCATGTGCATACACACACACACTCTCTCTCTCAAAAATGAATAAAAATTACAAAAATTTTTTTTAAAATAGTAATTCTCAAGTTTTGGTGTGGATAAGAGTCCCATTTCCAAATATTCCTATTCAATAGGTCCAGTGTATGGCCTGGGAATCTTGATAATTCTGAGGCACGTAGTCTTTTGTCTATACTATAATAAAGTTCTGTTCTTTAAAAAAAAATATTAAAAAGTGATGGATGGCTAGTTGATGATAGCTAGAAAACAGTATCTGTGGAAGAAAAAAATGATGTATTTGGTTAATCTGAAAAAAAGAAGACTGAAGGGTTAGAGCTTCTAAGACTTAATTTAAGGAACCAGGATACAGAAAACTAGAAACCAATTATTATGTTTTCAAAGAAAAGAACAATCTCTCACCTGGACACCATCCAATTCTACCATTCCACATCACCTGATTCCTAAAGAAATTCTACCAAAATTTTCTTTGCTGCCAACACATCCTTAGGAAGCATTTTTAATTTGGCCATTCTCTACAACCTAGGTCTTCCCCCCCACCCCCACCACTGGAGCAATTTCTATTAAAATGATTATAATGAGATAAGTATATTTCAAAATCTATTTTTCCTTCAGGGAAAGCTATAAACTGCAGATGTCCTTCTAGTTTAAATTCCTTAACTGACTTTATTGGTTATTTATTGACAATGATAAAGATTTGTGTATGATTTAGAAGCCCTTCAATTTAGTTAAAACAGGGATTTTTCTCTTCTTGCTTTCAGTTCTTGATCACGAACTTACTTCAGAATGCCCCCGATGGTCACAGCCTATCCAGAAAATTCCTCTATTTATTTTCTTGTATTTTTGGAAAGAACTCAAATATTTTTTTAAAAGGGCATGTGGGGGCTGGGAGATGAAGATAAATATAACAGAGTCTCAGATTTTGTTCTTCTGCTTGTATGTTCTCCCTCCCCACCCCTCTCTTTCTCTCTAAATCAGATCTAAATAAGCCTCTATTTTCAAAATTGCTGTCTCCTCGTATATATATCTGGCTAGGTCCAAGTACATTACGGAGTTGTTATAAAGATATTTGACTTCCCTTATTTTTCCAGGATGTTATTGTTGACCGTGGGAGTGGAAACACAGTGTAAGCAACTATCAGGAAGATATGTATAATGTTTTATTTATAATAAAATAATATTTTATTTATGAGGAAAATCGACACAAGAGAGTCTATCTGTTCTGAGCTGTTTCTATAACATAATCTTACTTTCTAGATTAGTCATGTTTCCGTGGAGATTATGGAAAGTGGAAATGATTCAATTAATTGCTTCTAGTTTTTGCTAA